AATAAAAAAAAAAAACTGTAACGGCAACGACATGTTAACTGATATTAAGAAAGATAAAGGAAATGTAAACAAAAATATACATACATATGTATGTACATTACTATTTAAAGTTACATTCCACGAAATTTTTTTTGGTTACTTCCTGTTCTACAACGTATGCATTAAACTTGTACTCGTTCTATTTTTATTGTTACAAAATTCGGTTCAAATTAGTTTAGCATTCATTATAATTCTAGCCAAAATTTGTAAGTATCAGATCTGAACAACCAATCCAACCAAAATGTTTATAAAGAGTTGGTTATATTGCCTACTTATATGAGGGCTAAGATCATAATATGATATGTATATGAGCATTACATATGTATGTATTGTATATGGAAAGCGATCGATTTTTAAAGAAATTAACAAAATTCTTGCTGATCACATTATATTGTCATAAACTTACCTTTATGAAAATCATCATGACATTGTTTTTGTTTAAAATTGTTTTTAAAAATTAATATATCAATAAACCAAAGAATGTTCTATTAAAAATTTGTTTTATTTTAACCAACATTACTTTGCAAAATTTTCCATTAAATAATTTCACTTTTGCTATATTTTGCTGATCAATTTATGTTATTATTTTAATAATTTTTTGATCTTAGTTTATGTTTATTTTTAACAAAATAAAAATAAATATGATTGATTACACATACAATACTTTGCGACGAACTGCGACTGACAGCTACGCAACGTAGAAAAAGTGATGTCCAATCGTTGCGTTGATAAAATATGAAAAAATAATTAAATATGTTTTAATATTACCTATAAAAAATATTCAATATAAAATATTTAAAGTAAAAAATATTTCATTTAAAAATGGTGCGTTTTGCACACACACAAATCATAATTATACACAACAAAAAAGACAAACAATAATATTGACAGTTTTGTTTTTGTTCTAATTTTCTCTTTCTTTCTTCTTTTTCGTACGCCAAAGTTGAATATTTTTCAACTTTTTTACTTCGTGCACAAGTTTGACGTATTGATTATGACCGCTCTCATTTAAATACATACAGTAAATACGAGCTGTCAGCCGCAGTTCGTCGTAAAGGATTGTATGTGTTTGGACCTTAACACTTTATTATAAACTTTAAGGAATTTAGAACTGAAAATAAAACGTATAAATTGATGAAATCAAATACTAAAATGTCTTCATTTATTTAATTTAGTTTAATTTATTAAAGGTAAAGCAAACAAATACATTATCATTGTTGTGTTGTGAGAAGGTGAAAAAATAAAATTTGCAAACATTTTTGTTATTATATATATTTTTGTTTGTTTTTTATTATTATTTAAAAATTTCAATTTTATTGTTTATTCTACTTTAGTTATTTTTTTTCTGGTTGTTTTTTGTTTACACGACAATTTTATAGCAACACATACATTATATACCCCGCTTTAAATTAATTATAATTATAATATTAGAAAATTGAAATTAAATCCAGTTTGCCACATTCTCGACATACCAATAATGTGTTTTTATAAGCCGTCGTTAAAATAATATAAATTACCCACCTAAAAAAAAAAAAATAAAAGATAAAGGAAGGGAAAAGAATTCTTGTTTATGTTTAACAAATAAATAGGAAGAGATAGAAGGGTTCTCTCTCACTCATACAATCACCTACTTTTCTAACACAACATTCAGTCTTCGACGGCATATTTTTGAGTCCATTCGCGTGCATTTTTAATGGCCTCAGCCTCATTGACTTTCCACAATTCAGCGACATCATTGGCCAAAGGATCATCGGGATTGGGTGCGCTAAGCAAAGCCTGAATCGATAGTAAGATGGTACGTATTTGTAAAGCAGGACTCCATTTATCTTTCAAAACATCCAAACAGATGCGACCCAAACGATCAATATTTGGATGATAGATTTTCGTAATGAATCGCACCTTGGGCGCTGACATCGGATAGTCTTCGGGCAAAAAGAGTTCCAATTTAAAGACGCCACCTTCGAAGGGCGAATCGGTTGGACCGGTTACAATAACATGAAAATATCTAGCATTGTTTTCATCAGGAATGGCATTGATGCCCGGTACGGGCTCTTGCATTAAACGTTGAGTTTCTTTGATAATACGACGTGGTAGGCTGGACATTGTTGTAATTTATTATGTTTCTGTTATTGGGTTGGTTGGCTGGCTGGCTGGCTGACCGGCTAGAAAATAAATAGAAAATCAAATATAAAATAATAGTGTGAGTGTAAATAGCCACCAAAGTGTTGAAAAATCCTTATATTATCAGATTTTATTCATTGTAAAAAATATTTTGCTAAAAAACGTAATATCTTGTCAAAATCTGATAAATACGTTAAAAATTAAGATTTTGTTTAAAATTAGATTTTGTATTTATATTTTTTTAGGAATTTTTTGGCGAAATCTAGTTAATATTATTTAGTTTTCGATCAATTTTAAAGTAGATTTAGTTCAGCTGCCCTTTTTAAGATTACTTCATTTCTAGTTCAGTTAGAGCTAATTTTGAGTTGGCAATTAAATGCAAATTAATAATTACATTAGGGTTCTATAAATCGACTTTCGAATAATCGAACAATCGACTTTTTGTCGAAAAAAGTCGAAAAGTCGAAGTCGACTATTTTGTTCCAAAAAAGTCGATAACTCGACTATCGTCTATGAAAAAAGTCGAAAAGTCGACTTTGTAAATAAAAGTCGAAAAAAGTCGAAAAGTCGGAAAGTCGAAAAAAGTCGAAAAAAGTCGAAAAGTCGAAAAAAAGTCGAAAAAAGTCGAAAAAAGTCGAAAAGTCGGAAAAAGTCGGAAAAAGTCGAAAAGTCGAAAATTTTAAAAAAGTGGAAAAGAGGTCAAAAACTCTAAAATAGTCGGAAAAACTCGAAAAAAGTAAAAAATAGTCGAAAAAAGTCGAAATAAGTCGAAAATAGTCAAAAAGTCGTAAAAAATCGAAAAGTCGAAAAGTCGGAAAAAGTCGAAAAGTTGAAAAAAGTCGGAAAAAGTCGAAAAGTCGAAAAAAGTCGGAAAAAGTCGGAAAAAGTCGAAAAGTCGGAAAAAGTCGAAAAAAGTCGGAAAAAGTCGGAAAAAGTCGAAAAGTCGACCATTTATAAAATACTAAAAGTCGAAACGTCTAAAAGTCGACTTTTAAATAAATGAAAAAGGTCGAAAAGTCGAAAAATCGACTTTTCATAAAATGGAATAAGTCGAAAGGTCGAAAAGTCGACTTTTAACTAAATGCAAAAAGTCAAAAAGTCGACTTTTCGTTTCAACTATAGAACCCTAAATTACATTAGTTATTCTAAAAATAAATTTAATCTGATGTTTTTGAGTACAAGATTATACACTTCGCAGTGTTGCCATACAAAACAACAGAAAAACACACTGTTTGTTATCAAAAAAATGCATGTTTTATAAAAAAGAAGAAGACAATTGTAAATTGGATATGAAACTTAATGATATATAATTTACACTTTTGCACTTCTTGCTCAACTTAAACCACCTTTATTGGGCGCTTAAACTAGCAAACAAAATTAACTGTGTACTCAAAAACAACTTTCGAGGATTAATTTTAATTTAATCCCTAATCGTTTCGGTTCTAGTTTAGTTTAGTTCAGTTCTAATTCAGTTCTAGTTCAATTATATTTCAGTTCTTGTTCATTCCTAATTATGTTGTAGTTCAGTTCTAGAATTCAGTTCTAGTTCAGTTCAGGAATTCAGTTCTAGTTCAGTTCAGGAATTCAGTTATAGTTCAGTTGCAGAGTTCAGTTCTATTTGTTTTACATTAGCTCGGTTAAAGTTCCAATGCATTTCTTGTTTCAATTCTTTTTTTCACTTTTCGATGCACTATACTACAATTGCTAAACACTAAAATCTAACAACTTCCAGCTGGTAACCTTGAAAAATTCCTATAATAACACTCAATCGGTTGGACGCAAAACAAAACAATAACTAAAATTAGCAACTCAAAACCAGCAAAATCGAAGAATTTTCCAGAATTAAACAATTACCTCTACTACATAATATGAAAAAAAGTATAAAAAAACTTAAAAATAACACTAGAGGAAAAAATATTGATTTTATTGTAATTGCCTAAGAAAGTAGAAATTGTAGGAATTACTAATTGGAAGTTAAAAAAGAAAAGTACAAAAAAAAACAACGAAACAAAGAACTAAAAGCACGTACACCAGTAAAAAAAAAATTATTAACAAAAAAGGTTGTTATTTTCTTAGCTTGAGTCTTGTTTTATTATTTTTTGTTTGTTTCACTCATGCAATGGCCGCTAACAGCAAAATTAACAAAAAAAAAACTATAAAATATTCAAGGGGGAAGGTAGAAAACAAAGCGAATTTGTTGTTGCAGCAGACTGCTTTAGAGATTATAGGAAAAATCAATAAATTTTAAATATTTAAGAGAAATTTATTATATTAAATGTTTTACCCCATTAATTAGAACTTCAATAGTATATAAAAATCCCTAAAAATGTTAAAGGAAATAGGTATTTTTTCATATATATTTTTATTGTTCGAGAATTTTTCTTTCTATTCGGCAAAATCATTCACAAACACACGCACTCACACTCAGGCATTTACCGACAAATACAACACTCATCTTTTGCATGACCATGTTTTTTCTTTTTTTGCTCACTTTTTGCACAATTTTTCTAGATTTTATAAAATTTTTTAGTTTTTGTAAAATTTTAAATATATTTTAACACTTACCACACTATTTATTGTGGCTTTTTCGACACACGAAAAATTGTTAACTTTGTATATTTTGTTATTTTTTTATTAACAATTTTTTTTGAGGAATTTTATTCACGAACGCACCACGAATTTTTCTTATTCTTTTGTATTTTTGCTTTGGCAAATATTTCTTCAATGTCAAAAAGAAAGAGAGGAATAGAATTATTAGTTAAATGCTTGAGCGAGATGACAATAGTATTGTCGGTATTAAAAGCAGTGTTGGCAAACGTAAAACATAATTTGTGTAGTGGAAACAGTGTTGTTGTTTTTCAAGAATTGGATTTTATCAGATAATACTTTTTATTGTTATTGAAACAATTATATTTACAAAACTTGTTATTTTGTAAAGAAAATACGAAAACTTAATTTAACAGATTTCTGTAATAAAAAATTTTAGATATTTATGATAATTTTAGTAAAATTTTTTGATGTTTTGCAAGATTAAAAAAATATATAAAAAAATACACCTACCTATAATCGGTATAATTAAAGTAATTTTCTAAAACGAATTTTTTAAATAATATTCTGTTTTAAAAACATGTCATTTTTAGTGAAAATTCGTATCTTGGTGATTTTTTTAATAAAAATTTATACATATATAAGTAAAAAATTTAATTTATGATAAAAATCAAATATTTGGTCAAAAACGGATTTAAAATATTGGATTTTTTTTTAAAAAGTGGATTTTAACAAAAAAAAAAAAAAAGTGAAATTTTTGTAAAAAAAATTTGATTTGGCGAAAATGTCATTTTTTTAGTGAAAATTATATTTTTTCTATAAGTCTGACTTTTTAGGAAATATTTGCGAATGGCTTAAAATACAGAATCTAGAGTTGAAATGGATGAGAAATAGGTTCCATGACGAACTGGGAGAAATTGCGGGACTTTGTGCTCTCAGTCCAATTGGTTTTATTAGAGGAATTGGTCATTTCTTCAACTAGATATTATAGGATGACTCAGATTCTCTTACAATTCTTTCTTAGGGAATCGCTTCTGTAAAACTTCGATGTTGAAACCCCTTGGGAATTGACCTGTATTTATTTCTTTCTACTTATGTATTTTTGTTTTTGTGATTCATTTTGTTTTCTTCTATTGTTATGTTTCTCTATCTTTGGATCCCCTTACTCTACGAAGTGAATAATTTTTTTAGTAAAATTTTAATCGTATTTAACATTTTTTTTGATTACGGGTAACAATTGGCATTGTTAACAAAAACTCAATTAAGTTAAAATTCAGGTTTCTAGCGAATAATTATAATTTTAGTAAAAATTTTATTCTCAATCGAAATTTGATTGAAAAATTTAATTAAAAAAAATTTATCGTCATTTTAAGTAAAAAAAGTTGATAAACTTTAAAATTGATAAATCATATATAAAACATTATAATGTTTTAATATTTGGTAAAAAATGGATCTTGTATAAAATATTAATTTTTTGCTGAAAAATTAAAGAATTAATTAATGTTTTTATTATTAATTATTATTTTTTTAAATTTCTTGTATGCTCATAAAATATATTTTTAAATTGTAAATCAGACTTAGGAAACAAATTAATTACTAATTTTGAAATTTTTTGATATTAAATTTTAATAAGAAAACGGATTTTTAGTGAAAATTCGAAAGTCAATTTTTTAAATATAAACTGGTTTCCCGGTTTAACGAATACTCAGTTTAGCGAATTCGTGATTTAACGAACGGACAAATTGTTTCCATTGAGTACCTTATATTACGAATGAATGAGTAAGTTTTGTACTCGATATAACGAATTTCTAAAAAAAATTCTGTAAAAAGAGGTGAAAATACTACGGAAAGATAACTAAACTTCTTTATTAACCAAAAGCAATAACATATTAAGATTTTATGTAAGTTCAATACCCAATTCAATGGCTACAAAATCTACAAATACAAAAATCAGGGATTAGGAATGAAAATATCATTTAAAAAATTATTTTCGGATATATAAATAAAATTTATTACATACATTTTAATATAAAATTCTTTATTTAAGGGAATATTATGATTATTTTATTAATAAAGTGAGAAATGGAATTGTTTGTAATGAAAATTACCATAAAATACTTAGAATTTCACATCGATTAAAATGGGCATCAAATCCCTATTTTTTATAAGAGAAGAATTCATTTTCGAAATGAAACAACTTTAAAATCAATAAACAAAAAATATTGTTTTTACCTAATTGTAATACAATTTTTCATAAAATCTTTCATTTTGGTTTGATTGCAAATTTAACTAAAAAACTAATTTCTATCTTTTGCACACTGCATAAAAATGCATGGAAATTGTCAAAAACTTTATGGGTGCATTCAAAAAGATTTAAAAAATAGACTTCCTACCTTCCATTACCGTATAATTATCAATTAATCATGGAAAAGTAGTTTTTCGGTTTAACGAACTTTTCGTTTTTACGAATGGGCCTGACATTATATCTTTCGTTAAACCGGGAAACCACTGTATTTAATTAGTGGATTTCCAGGAAGTTGAATTAATTCCTATAGAATGTTAAATTCCTTCTGAATTCATTTTCAAATATTCTTATATATATAGAAGAAAGTAAAAAATATTATTATACTTATTATAAGTATTCATTTATTATTTTATTATTATTATTTATTTTAGAATATTAATAAGTAATTTACATATAATACAAAAAACGCATGTAACAAAACAATAAATTAATGAAACGTTTAGCAACACTGTTTTCATTCATTTAATTTGATTTCCAATAAGAAAAGTAATGAAAGAAAAAACAAAATTCTGTTCTACGTCCTACAGCAACTGAGTAAAGAAGACAACACTATTGTTTAACAGGTTTTCATAGCAATCAGCTTTTATATTATGGGTTTAAACAGTAGAAACAAAAAAATAAATAAAGTAAATAACAAATACTTTGGAAACAAAATGATTAATTTAAAAAAAACAATTTAAAAGGCGTTTAAAAATACTAACAAAAATATAAAAATGAGAAGATCAACTAATATTTAAAAGTTTTTGCTTGAAACTGTTTAATGCTAATATACAAATAGCAAGTGATTAAATAAAACACATACACAAAGTACCGTTAGAATTTTTTCATTCTCTAAAAGTGTCAAAATTAGCGTGGAAGCTGCAAAATTTAAATTTTATAAACTTTATAAAATTTGCCATAACAAATGTGTTATTCTATATAATTAATTATTTATGAAATAAAAGCTGTTGCTTAACATAAATTATTAATAAAAAAAGGTAAGTGCACTAAATTGATAACCATTGCAAAAAGTTTGTAGTTGTCATTGTTATTTATAACAAATTTATATATATTCAGGCTTATACCGAATAATAAACTCCATGGGAGTTTGTACCCTCTACTAAACCTAAAGCATGTAAAAGAAAACAAACTCCCGGGGAATAGTTCATAATTGGCCTGATTAAGTAATGATGTTAGAAACATACTTATCCGGACTTTTTTACATGCATAGATATAAAGTAACAAAATAGTTCTTGCCTCGGGGTTAATATTACTTACCTTACATATTAATAATTTTGAGTAGGCGGCATATCCTATAGGAAGTGAGTTCTTGCGTATTTATAAAAATCTTTATCATTTTTTGTCACTTAATTCCCATACTAATTTTCTATTTCAAACTATAGGTATAATAACTTGAAGGTTTTCTGGTCTATAGATCACTCTATAGTCTGGTCCTGATGATGTCTACAACATAGTTTATAAACGAGTCAAGATATATTTTTATAGCGTGGTCTATATATATCTTTCATCTGGTCTATATACAAGTTTGTAGTGTAGTCTTTAGAGCAGTCACCGATCTGGTCCACAGATCTGTCCGGCCTGTAGATGTGTGGCTCTAAGATGAGTCTATAGTCTGTTCTAGAGATATATTTATAGTATGTTCAGCCCATATATGTTTTTATCAGCCTGTATAGTATTCATTATAGTCTGGTCTATAGACAGACTAGTCTATACACTAGTTTATAGATCAGTTCACATTCTATGCTATATATTATAATATTGATTAGCCTATAATATGGTCTATAAGTCTAAAGACTTATCGAGCAGTTCATTTGTTTGTGCATATACAGTGTCTCTCATAATTATTCGAATTTGGGTAAACTATAAAAAGAAACCAAGTTTAATAATATATTTTGTGTGCAAAATAAATAAATTAATTTGTTATATTGTCTAGATAGTCGTTATGTTTGATATCACGCTTTTTAAAACTTGAAAAATTTGCATTGACTTAAATTAATAATGGATTTTTAAAAATAGTCCATGAAATTGCCTCTCAAAAGTATACGAATTTTTCCTGTATTTCATATTTGATCATATTATACGCAACACAAATTTTAGAATCGAATGGTTTTTATGCGTAATATTGTTTTAAGGGGTTACTATCCACGGAAAGGATATATTTTTGGACCATTTGGTCCACAATTTTGGGGAATTTGTACCTTTTTTCAAGTAATATCATTAAAATGGCGATTTTTGGCCATAATTGTAAATTTTTCTCCTTATTTCCAGAGATAAAACAAAAATTTGATATTGGGACTTATAAGACCCCTTGGGGTATATAAAAATAATATTTTTTGTTACAAGAATCTGTATTTAAACGTTCCAAGATAAATTATTCGGATCATTCTTCTGTCGCTAATTCAATATATTGGAACTTAAGTCCATTTGTATAATACTAGGATCAACTATTTTCGGGGAACTTTTCTGGTATATATTCTTTTAGATATCAGCTTTTATACATTTTAAGTTTTCAATGTGTTGTGGAAGTGTACAACTCCAAAACATGCCTCGAAGAAACACCATTCAAAATAGTAAAATCATTATTTTTAGATACCAATGGCCTCCATGCTGCATGGCACGATATCATTATGATCTAACTCAAAAATATTGATATATGTTTAAATATTATTTACTATGATCAAATTAAAACCAAAATTTTGGACTTACAGTGTTATTGTAACGGGCAACATAAGCGTGAAAGTTACGAGTAGTAAAAACTGAAATCTACTATATAGGATGACGTTTTGTTAAGGCATGTTTTGGGGTTATATACCGCTATAATATATTGAAAATTTAAAATACATTAGTGCCAATATGTGCATGAATATACACTAGACAACTTTGTCGGAAAATATCGTCCCTAGAGGTACGAAAAGGGACTTATGATCCAGATAATTCAATTAGAAACTGAAAAACGATACCAAAAATACATCTTGGAACGTTGAAGTA